TCCTTGGGTGTTTTTGTTTGTTGTTTCAGCCTAAAACAGATCAAATTGTCTTAAAATAAACCCAGTTGTTCTGACCTAAAATAACTGTTGAAGAAAACCACTTGTTTGCTCATGACAGACTCTGCACCAATACAGAAAAGAAATATTCTGACATGGTTACAAGTGGAGCATTAAACTTCAACAACCTTTTCAAGCCGCATAGCTCTGCCGGTCCAGATCTGGACTAGAGTTAAAGAGCATAAGCATACCAAAAAGGATTACAAGTAAATTAGCTGAATTACTGAGTTTTGGGATTTGGGGGGCAGGGGGTGGGGGGAAGAGTTAAACAACTCCAAGTAGACAAACACACCACTGAACTTCTGAGCTGTTACCTGCCGCAGTCCGACCCCAGGACCCAGATCTGTCTTTAGAGCTGGAGGAGTTTATATTAACACCTGGCAATGAGCTGAACCTCAAGGATCTGCCTCAGGCTACGTGTAATCAGCGGTAGCAGAGAAGAAACCAGAAGATGAACTTTCTGTCAGGAGGAAAAACAGCTTTTGCGTAGCCTTTACAGAGAAGTCCTCGCTCACAGGGTTTGGTACATTAAAGATGTATTATTTTATAAAGCTCTAACCACCTTTAATATCCGGGATGGTTTCCACATTCTGAAATACAGCCAACATATACTCCACAATACTGAAGGTGACAGAGCGCTTGTCTTCCAAGTGACAAGAATAAACATGATCCTTCCCAAAGGATAAAAACAACAAAATCCTACGACACTCATATGTTTGTATTTTTACCGCTCAACTGATATAAGAGAACCTACTACTAAGATGACATCACTTTGGATCAAACCTCGCAGTCTCTGGGCCCCCATGTCCTATACCCTTCCCGCTGAACCTACGACCCGTCTGTACAAAAACCATCACGTCAGACAGCAAAGAAAGCCAGGCGAGACTTTTGAGTCACCGCTAAGTGCTGTAACTTCCTTCCTTCTTCCAATAACACAGCCTCCTGCCTCATCTGCCCCCCCAAGCACAACATCCCAGGCCATCCTTTCCCCTCGGACACGGCCGCCGCAGCGCTCACGTTTTACACGCATGGCTATCGGAAATATTTTCAGCCTCTGGTCTCCTGCGTGACAAAAAAAAAGAAAGCAGCAGAAGCAGGTTACAAAAGCAGATCAATTTTAGGTGAGAAGGGGGTTTTTTTGTTGGAAGACTTATGATTTCGGCTTTCAGAGTACTTGCAGCAGCTGCAGCTGCTGCAGCAGGAGACGGAGGGATGGGAGATCAAGGGGGCGGCCGATCCCCGTGTCCCGGCCCCGGAGGGCCCGCACCCAGCCCCGCGGCAGCGCACCGGACCCCGCCGGCTCCCCGCCCCCGCACTGC